TCAGATGCTTCCAAACTCAGATGGATTTCAGGCTCGCTCATTTAATTACTCTCAGATACTTCCAAATTCAGGTGGATAAAAATCACTATTAATCAAACCGTTTTTGAAAATCTTCTCGAATTGGCAGTTGATAAAAGACAACACAATCGTAAAGTTTGTCAAAAAAAAAACAATGTTCCCTTACAATACGTTTCAAATTATAATATAAATGAAAGATGTAAATATATGAGCAAAGCAAATAAAGCACTTCATGCAACGTTTGCATATGAATGTTATATCAAGAGATTTCGTTTCCGATTGCTTAAAAAGTTAAAAATATTAAAAACAACATCTTTCTATCCTATGAAGGTAGATAAATTTGATTATTATTACGGTGGGATGCTGTCCTCATGCTCATTTTCCTTTTCAGAAGTGTGTCAGCAACTGAAGATTAATGGAAAGGTTAAATCTTTAAGCAAAGTTGAGCTACAAGAATTAACTAAAGAAGACTTAAAATGCAACCAGTGTTCCTAAGAATATCGCATTATTGAAAGAACATCTGAAAAGTCACTTAAAACAAAAGAGATAAGAGAAAGAATGAAGCTAAGGGCTCTTTTTTTTTAATGTATAGAACTTTATTAACACATATATATATATATTTGTGCAAGTTGTGAATTTTTTTTACATAGCAAAAGGAATGATTGGAATTTTTTCTAGCTTTTATTTTCTTTACATGGTTATTATAAATAATTGTCAAACAACAATAATAAATTTGCGTAAGCAATAACAATATGGACTACGGAGGAAGACGTGCGCCTAATAAAGGATTTGGGAAAGGACAACATATTTCATATTTTGAAAAAGAACACAAAAATAAATATTAAAAAAAACGCATTTAACTGTACGCTCCGTTTAGTTCAACATAGATGTTTGTGCGTGTTTGTTTGTGTGAAAATTAGTTTTTATCTTCAATCATCTAAATTTAATTAAAATGCACTTTGTTTTTTTAAAAAAACAGAAAAAGTTCATCATTAAAAAATATAAGTAAAAATATATTAACTAACAACCTTGTTATATAATTCATATCCCATGTATATTGCGACTAACATACCATAACAGAGAATATTTTAAAAGATTTCTATAATAATTAATATTAAAATCTGATGAATTTTTATAACAATCACCAAAAAACTGTGATTGTACTAATTTCATCAATCTGCTTGTCCAACCAGCAAAAATACTTTAGAATTCTCAAGAAATATATGCACTTCTGACTAAGGTTTTCACGTTTCTGAAATGATTTAATCATTTCATAGCTGTCTGTCTGTCTGCCCAACTTTAGGACTTAATAAAGCCGCATAAACCGAGATAGAAAATTTTTTCTGTTTTTGCGCCTCCTTCTGCATGGCCGGTTTGCTGATTTGCGTTCAGTTGGCGGCATAGTCTCTTTTAAAATCTTCTTCTACGCCATTCAATATGGATAGCCGAAAGAAGCGGCCTGTTATGCTGCATTGTTTTAAAAAAGTTAGTAGTGCAAAGGACCCTGCAGTCGAGATATGCACCGTTTATGAGAGTGGTACTACGACTATTGGAACCATTCGAAGTTGATTTAAGACATTTAGAGGTGACAATTGTGATTTTGAAAGATGAAGGCTGCAGTGGCCGCCCAGCAACGACGGATGGGGATTTCATTAGGACGTCAGGTCACTGGAAATCCGTGACATAACGGATGGCATTAATATTCCCAGAATAACAGAACGTAATCACTTAATCACGATGAAATATGTCGCCTATTGATTTCGCATCAAAAAAAAAAAGAAGAAGAACTTATAGGACACCCTAATATGCAATACCCGAAGGAGAACGGCGGTTTATTATTAATATCTGTCCATGTATTTTGTATTCAACCTGCAGATGGCACTTCGTTTTTCAGCTGGTTTGGTGAAATTTTATACAATGACATAATTTAGCGTAAGCCTTATTCAAAATTGATTGGATCAGATCGTTTCTATGATCACACACGATCAAATTGACATTAATATCGAGTGGACCAAATTTGAGCCAGATGCGTCAATTTCTTTGCCCCACTCCATATAGGATTTCTCATGAATGGTAAGCCCTTCAGAGAAACGTTTAATTTTAAATATTTTTTAATTACAATTGGTCCGTAGTAGCAATTTAACAAAAGTGAGAATTTGGATCGAACAGGCCAATTTTTTAGGCTTACGGGACTTTCAGGCTTATATGAGGGTTATCATGAAAAGTAATTCGTTATATGGAAACAATGTTCATAACAATATTTTAAATTTAAAAATTAACTGGAACAAATTTGAAAACTGTAGTTAGGTACCTTTCCGACCCCAACCTCTAAAAGAATACTCATGAAAAATAAAAATTTATTTGGCAATAATGGGTAAATAATAATAAGCTTTTCGACAAGAAAATCAATTTGGCTCACATCAGCCCATGTATCGGCCACCAACGAACGCAACTTCTTATATCCTTCACAGAAGAATGAGGGGTGTTTTCATTTTGTCAAAACCCACGAGGAAGCTCCAAGTATATATATTCTCGATCAATATTGAATCCTTAATAAATTCAAGCATGTCCATCCGCCCGTCCGTGTAATGTCTACTGTAAGCACTCTCCTGGCCCTATACAACAAAAACTATGAATACTTTTGCTATCCGTGTTCTTTGATTGTTATTCATAAAGTACAACACATGCACCATATCAATCTTCACTTTTGTTCTGAAAATGGAAAAAGTCAGTCGCGCCCATCCCTTAATATATAGAGTATAAAAATGTAGTTCGACGGGGTACAATTTTCTTGTTTACTTGTTTCTATAACTTACACCGCTTGTGGGTGTTTTAAGATTGTTCGGATATACATAACACACAGAAATATTTGAGAAGGACCCAACTTTTATTAAAACGATCAATTCGCTGAATCGATTTCAGCTTTTCTGCTCGTCTGCCCGTCTGCCTATCTTGTTTTCTTTTTTTACTTATATTATTATATATATTCATCTCGATTAGTTGGATCGATCAGTTTTAAGAATAGTGGCCGCAATTTCAACCCTATCAAAATAAGTTCATCCTGCACTCTGCAGAGTGTATAGAGTGATCAACAGACGACATTAAACTCCCGCTTAGGAAAATAAACAGTTTCAAATTTTTTTATATTGCTCTCATTAGGCAGAGATCGATTTAGGGATGTAGGGCTAATATATTCCTTTTTATACCCTACATCATATGCGGTACCAAGGATGTATTAAGTTTTTCCGGATGTATACAACACACAGAAGGACTTGGGATAGATCTACCTTCTGTCTGTCTGTACGTTTTGTATTCTTGTGTTCAGCCTGTATGTCGCAATTTTTGAAACATTTTCATGAAATTTGGTACACTGGCGTATTTCGGCCCACGAACGCATGATAGTAAAAATAGTTGCGTTCGAACCAGTTATTCGATTCCGGTACGGTGATGTAGTGTGAGCCGTCACCCCACTATTGTGTTCTTACTTGTTTTTTTCTTATCATTGCTTATGTGCCTTTAATTCGCTGTCGAACTATATACCATTGTCGTTCGTGTCATTAAAGAAATGAATATTGATCGACAGTTATAAGCGGCCCTCTCACAAATATATACAAACACTTCGTTTTCTTTGATATGTGAATAAATGATGAAGCACAAAATATAATTCGTTTCATTGGATACATCACTTCACATTCAACGCAATCTTCGTCTGAGATTTCAATGTGAATTTCAGCCTAAAATGCATGCACTTCCCTTTTGTGGTCATAGCATACAGCTTCCAAACTACGATTCCCTCCTAACTCACTCTCCGCCCCCCCACGTCTTTCTAACCATCACCATAGCGCACAAATAGGAGACATCCCTTGAATTATCGGTCATTCGCAAAAAAAAAAAAAAAAAAAAAAACAAAAATTTCCTCAGGCATGTAAGTGCAGTTTTGCTAACGTATTTCATATCTCTATGGATTTAAAAAAAGAAAAATTATGTTGTAAAAATAGTTTGTATATATTCTATGTGCAGTACATATGTATAGGATATCTATACACATAAGTTCATATACATTTTCAATTCCATATGTCATACACATAAGTGCATTCACATATCTCCCTAACTCGAATAAGTGACTGATTCTTAATTATACCGACCACTGAAGGATGAGGTATACTCATTTTTTTTTTTTTTTTTCATAATGTATGTAACAATCAAAACGAAGCTTTACAGACCCTATAAAATATATATATATAATCTTGATCAGCGGGAGATTCTGAATTGATTGAGCCATGTCTGTCTGTCTGTGTGGTGTTTGTCATTGCCACTGTTCTGGTCGCATAAGAATTCTGAATTGATTAAGCCATGTCTGTCCGTCTGTGTGGTGGTTGTCGTTGGCACTCTCCTAGTCGCCAAAAAGGAAGATATCGCCTACAAATTTGG